AAAAAAATGAATAAAAAAATAAAAAAGCACTGATTGGGGGGGAACACACACACACACACAAAATTGATGTCCAGTAATAATCTTCTGGATAATAAGGTTATCTGATTCCACAGGTAACAAAATAGCAGAGCAAGTCAAGGGTCTAAATTAAATAGACCCCCTTCCAGTTAACTGTGAGTGGCAATATAACTAACAATTAACAAAGCAGACTTACAAACCAGATGATCTGTATTAAAATGCAGATAAACAGTGAGCTCTACTACTTGCTACTCAACATTTTACTCATCTGTAAAATGGGGTTAATAATAGTACCTACTACAAAGGGTTGTTGTGAGGATTAAATAAATATATGTAAAACACAGAAGAGTGCCTGAAAGAGCATGTGCTCTACAAGTATTAATTATTATGGGTAATACTACTAATAATAGTTATGTATTGATGTGTAATTCTGTGTCTAGCATCTTCATAAGAAAACTGGAGTATGTGGTCTACCTAACAGAGGACTGCAATAAACAAATGAAATAACTGACATGAAAACACGCTATTAGCAAGTATTATTATTAGAAAAATCAGACTAGGATACATTGTTCTAACTCATCTCAAAAGTCTTTGAACAAAATAATATCATTGATGACTACAGATGGAAAAATCCTCAATACTAGAAAACTGAATTCAATAGCACACTGAAAGGATATACACCATGACCAAGTGGGATTTATCACTGGGATGCAAGGATAATTCAATATGAAAACCAACCAATGTGATACATCACATTAACAGAATGGATAAAATTCTGTCCATCAAGACAACTGGTGCAGAAAAAGCATTTGACAAAATTCAACACCCTTTCATAATAAAAATACTCAACAAACTTGGAATACAAGAAAATTACCTAAACATAATAAAGATCACATATTAAAAGCCCAGAACTAATATCATCCTCAACAGTGAAAAACTGAAAGCTTTTCCTTTAAGATCAGTAATAAGGCAATGATGGCTGCTCTCACAACTTCTATTTAACATAGTACTAGACATACCAACAAAAGCAATTAAGCAAGAATCAGAAATAAAAGGTATCCAAAATGGAAAAGAAGTTAAAATTTTATCAGTTCACAGATGACATGATCGTGTATACAGAAAACTCAGAAGATTCTACCAAAAAAACCCCATTAGAATAAATATATTCACTAAAGTTGTATGATATAAAAATCAACATACAAAAGTCAACTGCATTTCTATACAACTAACAAAGAACAATCCAAAAAGAAAATGAAGAAAATCCCATTTACAGTAGCATCAAATAAAAAACAAAAAAGGAACCTTAAGAATAAACTTAACTAAGGAAGCAAAAGACTGTACACTGACAGGTACAAAACACTACTAAAAAAAATTAGATACAAATAAATGGAAAGACATCTTGTGTTCATGGATTTTAAGGCTTAATACTGTTAAAATGGCCATATTACCCAACAGGATTTACAGGTTCAATGCAATTCCTATCAAAATCCCAATCGTATTCTTTTTTTTTTTTAAAGATTTTATTTATTTATTTGACAGAGAGAGACACAATGAGAGAGGGAACACAAGCAGGGGAGTGGGAGAGGGAGAAGTAGGCCTCCCTCGGAGCACGGAGCCCGATCCCAGGATCCTGGGATCATGACCTGAGCCGAAGGCAGACTCTTAACGACTGAGCCACCCAGGCGCCCCCCAAATCGTATTCTTTACAGAAAAAGAAAAAATGAACTTAAAATTCATATGGAATCACAAAAGACACTGAATTGCCAAAACAATCTTCACAAAAAAACAAAAAAACTAGAGGCCTCACACTTCCTGGTTTCAAAACACATTATAAAGCAACAGTAATCAAAACAGTAGGGAACTGGGGCATAAAAGATAGAGAGACCAATGGAACAAAACAGAGAGCCCAGAAATAAATCTACATATATATGGTCAAATGATCGTCACCAAGGGTGCCAAAACTACAAAATGGGGATAGTCTCTTCAACACATGGTGCTGGGAAAACCAGGTATCACATGCAAAAGAATGAAACTGGACCATTATCTTACACCATACACAAAAATCAACTCAAAATGGATTAAAGATTTAAACATAAGACCTGAAAATGTAAAATTCCTTGAAGAAACCATGGGAGAAAAGTTATGTTAATAGTAGTCTTAGAAATGACTTCTTGCATATGACACCAAAAGCACAAGCAATAAATGCATACACAGACAAGTAGGACATCAAACTAAAAAGTTTCCTTCTGCACAGTAGAGGAAACAAGAGTAA